AGGTTTCTTTATTGACTGGTCATCTTCTTTGGTCTCCTTTTCTTCATCGATAGCATCATATTCTTCTTTGTCACTATTTACGATGCTAGTTTTTATTACTTCTTTGTTTTCGTTGTTGGTTAAGCGCCGGGTTGGAAGTGAGGTTGTCATTTTTTGTTTAGTGAGAAAAATCGAAAAAACGAACTACAAACATATTAACGCCAAACATTCGGTAGAATATTGTAAAAATATATATATATATATATGTATATATATATATATATATATATATATATATGTATGTAATCAATATGGGACGATTCCAAACAGATATTCATGCAAATAAAACGAAAATACGAACGAACTAATGAATGTAGAACAATGAACGAACGATTAACTTTGTTCGTATGAACGAACGAATGAATGAATAAATAAAAAAGTTTACATCAATACATATAGGATATATATAGATATATATAATTACTGTGATATTTTTTTAAAAGGAGAAAAAAAACAAACAAGATTACTTTATTTATAACTTATTATTACAATAATAAATGATAATTATTATTTTCCGCACTAAGAGTTAAAACGATACGTTCGACTTCAAAAAAACTTCCCAATACTTTACATTCATACATCCATTCATTTATTTTCTTTATTCATTTATTTATGCATGCATACATCCGTTCATCCATTCTTTTATCCATCCATTCATTCTTTCGTTCATCAAGTGATTTTTGTTCATACCGTAAATTTTGAAATATAATCGAGGGTGGTATATAAATAAAATGATATAAGTGACGTATTGATTCTTAAAGATAACAATAAATTCATTAATAACATTAATCAAATTAATAATTAAAGATAAATGATATATACATACATATGTTGTATCCATTTTTGTATGTGTGAATGTACTGGTTTGTATGTGTGAATGTACGTGTTTGTATGCTTTTCGTGTACTATATATGCAAGAATGAATTATATATGTATGTATGCATGCTTGTGAATATGTACATGTGTATGAATGTGTCTGTTTCCATGTATGTATGTATCTGTGTATGTATATGTGTTTTTATCGGTCTATCAGTTACTCGATTCATAAATTAACAATAAATCAAACTTTTAAACCACTAATCGGTAAACTAGCAAATTCATTTTTCAATCAATCATTCAACCAATCATTCAATCAATCGTTTAATCGATCAACTAACCATCCAATTAGGAAAGTAATTCACAAACTCTTCCAATTTGGCAACTAACATCCAAAACCGATCATTCAATCCATTACACAGACCGCCAGCAAACAATCAATCGATCAGTCAGTCAACTAATCAATCAATACGTTAATCAATCAACTTTTATTTATTCTTCTGTTTTCTGGACTTTACAAATCCATTCTTGTCTAGCTGTTGCTCATCTCCTAGCAGCTGCTCATCTGAATCTGTTGTTGTTTGTTTGTTTGTCTGTTTTTTTTTGTTTGTCTGTTTGTTGTCGTTATTTTTTTTTTTGATGTCGTTGCGATAAAGAAAGAGAGAGAGATGGAGAAGAGAAAGAAAGGGAGAAGATTTAAAAAAAGAATAAAAAATGAGAGATTCGTAATGAAAGACATAGATCAAGCGGACAAACAATAATAACGACGCTAATTATGACATAATAATGACTCTAATTATGACAAAGAACTAAAATGGGGCAGACGACGATGAGGAAGATAGAAACCCTCGGAAGGGAAAATGAATTGATGGCAAAGAGGTATGATCATACTATGAGAAGATAGATAAAACATGACAGAGTAGGTAGACATGGGCATCTGGCAACAATGGAGAAATAGAGAAGTGATAGTTAATAACAAAGAGTTGAAAAAAAATGATGGATAGGTATAAAAATTGGTAAAATGCAACAACAACGACGACGATGATGATGATGATTACAACAACAATGATGCTGCTGATGATGATTACAACAACAACAATGATGATGATGATTACAAACACACAACAAATTCGACTCAACAACAACAACAACAACCTTTTTTCTTCTGCTTCTTGCCACTGCCCGGAACTGGAGAGGACGAAGAGGAAGAAGATGGGGCCTGCTTCTTGCCGGACGCTGTACCAGCTGATTGACTCTGAGGGGAGATGTCCTTTTTCTCACGGAACCTCCTCAGATGGAAGGTAATGAAGTTCCACATTATGTATGCCTGCAACAGGAACAAGGCAACCAGGCAGTTAACTCTATCGAGGAAAAATATCAATAATAATAACAATGATGATGAGAATAAGAATAATATTGATGATTATATTAGGGGTAAGAATAATAATCATGACAATAATAATAATGAAGAGAATAAGAAAAATATTAATAATTATATCAGTGGTAAAAATAATTACCATAATAATAATAATAATAATAATGATGACAATGATCACCTTATGAAGAAGGTGTTGAAGTTACCAGTCGACCAATCAACGACGTGGACACTGGTCTTCGACAGTCCGTACCTAAATGGAGAAATGTGATTCGCCAGTTGGAAAATGTGGCGACGAATGATTGGTCGGTTAGAGAATGTAAGAAGAAATATGATTAGTTAATTAGAAAATGTATGAAAAATTATGACTGGTCAGTTGAGAAGAAGTATGTGTGGGTGAAGTATGATTGGCTAGTTGAAAAACTTGAATATATATATGATTGTTTGGTGATTAAATGTGAATGAATATTATTATTCAGCAATGAAAATTTATGAATGAACATGATTGGTCAGTCTGGAAACGTACGTTTGCATGGAGAAATGTGATTGATCAAAAAGAAAATGAATGAATTTATGGAAGGATAAATTCAAATTCATTATGGAAGGATATCAGTTATTCAATCAATCAATCATTCATTCAATCATTTAATTAGTGAATCATTCAACCAACTAACCAAAGAGTTAGTATGGAGAGAGTGATGGTTGCCAATCGAGTGACTACAAACGCAACATTCCAAACTTTGAAGCTGTTCAATCAAAAATAAGATATCAATAATAATACAAATAATAATAATAATAATAATAATTGTTATTATGATGAAATTTATCATACATATATGAAATAGAGATAAATAAACAAGTTGAGATAGAAAAACACAAAATAACAAAAAATAAATAAAAATAACCCTGACCCGCTATTGGCCAGGCTCTCCTTCTCAGCAAAGTAGAGAAGCCTTGATAGGTGGAAGAGAAATTCAGCAGTGTAATGTATCGTGAGCAGCAGTAGGCCAAGCAGCGACAGGCTAAACATGATTGGATGAAAATGAGATTATTAATAATGTCAGTAAGAGGAGCTATGAATAACTTTGCATAAACCACAGTTACACACATACAAACGCACACACACACATAGACATATATATATATATATATACATCCATACAAACACACAAACAGAACAGATGTAAAAAAAAACTTTAAAGCTAACTTGAGGATATAGCATACAGTGATGAATGTCAGGTATATTGTGTAGTACTGCAAACGTTGTACTATTTCCTCCTGGGACATTTTAATAAGGTGACACAATTACATACTATTAATAGTTTAAACTCAATTAGGTGACCCAATTACATACCATTATTAATAGTATAAACTCAACTGAGTGAACTGCTGACCTTTTTGACCTTTTGAAAGTAGAGCTCGGGGTAGCAGTGCACCCAGTGGGATATTTGCAAGATGAAGTATAACTTGACCCAGAAACTAATTGGGTCAATTAATATTTATCATTAAACATTGTCTTTCTTATCATCATCACCATCATTAAACAGAAAATGCAAGCACTTAATAGGCAACTAACATACAAAAACAAGCAAACAACGACGCTAACAACAAATAATAAAACAAACACAACTAACATACATACAACACTGCCAGAAAACAAACATACAAAAACAAACAAACAAACAATCAATAAAACAAACCAACCAATAAACAAATAACACTAACGACATATATAGATGGGGGTAAGCATCCCACAGTCCGCTGATACGACTCAAATAATCCTCTTTGATCAGTATATAGTAACCTGTGCAATAAGCAGTAACATTATTATAGTAGGTAATATAGTATCAGTAGTAACATATGATAATGGACTAATATAGTAATAGATAGAGTAGAGGAGTGTAAACACAGTAAAACAAACACAGTATCAAGTAATATGTAAACTTTCAAGCAAGCAGTGAAATGTAATACACAAAGTATCAAGATTATAACATGTATAAATGTATTGTTTTTGTGTGTATATCAATGTATGTAACAGCAACACGTGTAGCTGTAGTAATGTGTGGCAGCAGCAGCAGTGGCAACCACACACACAGAAAGTAACCTGTTACAGCAGAAGCAGCGTAGAAGACCAGGAGCTGGCCAGATTCATTGAACTTGCTGTGCTTCAACTTCGACAGATGCATTCGTCTGTTCAGTTTCTACAAATCAGTGAGTTAGGAAGGTGAAAAATTTTTTTCAAGAACTATGGGATTAAAAAAATACTAGATAAGAGAATGATTAAGCTTCAGTAAATGGTGAATGAATATGAATGTAACAGCAGTAGTAATGTGTTGTGTGTGCGCGCGTGTGTGTGTGTGTGCGCAGTAGATTGTGGCTTATTGGTGGGAAATTGAGGATTGAGTTATTTAAAATTTTGGGAATACAGGAATATGGAGGAAAAAAAAATTTATCACTATGTTCTAATGTAATCAATATGTGAATGAACAAATGAATAAATAGAGGTTATAACCAAATATGTATTATCATTGTAGAACCATCGAATGTATCAACAAACGTCACAATACCATCAATGACAATTAGTTAGTTAGAGCTATAAATAAACAAAACTAAAAATGACAATAAACATCAATTAATGATCATCCAATCAATGATTAACTAAATTAACATACTAATTATCATAATTAATTAATTAATTAGTAATAAACACTAACATCAAGTATGTACTCCTGGATGACAGCATGTGCAACTATGCAGATGAGGGTGTAAAAGAAGATAGTGAAGATATCTTTGAGGCCATTCGTATAAGTGAGAGAGTGAGGTGGCAGGAGAGGGGGTATTTTATCCACTGATGCTAGAGTTTAAAGTATTGAAATGTATATATGTTCGCATGTGGTAATGCTCATAAATAAATAAATATATATATATATATCTGTGTGTGTGTGTTTGTTTATTTATGTATGTATGTGTTTGCAGGGTTCGAATTGATGGGAGGTTTTACCCCACCTACCTCCAAAATAAGACCCTCCACCTTTCATTTAATTTTAATGTTGGCCTTACATTCAAAACTTCACCCGCCCATTCTTATGACCCCCGTACTTCTTTTTTCACAATTCGAACACTGTGTGTTTGTTTCTATTTTAACATGATACGTTTAAATTAGATAAAACTGTATGTATATATATACATTATATACAATTTATATGTCAAACATTACAAATGAAAGCCATAGCAACCATCCTCACCATTCAAAGTGACATTGTGTTGTAGAGCAATAAAAACTATGGCTAGTGGACTTGAAGACTGTAAAGTCAAAATAAAATTAATTTAGAAAATTAATTTTAATTTAGTAATCTAATTTATTCACTATATTATTATTAGTAGATCAAAATTTTTCATAATATTATCTATATTTTTACTTTTATGTAAATTTTAAAATTGATATTATTCTAATGTGAAATTATGGTCTAATTTAAATATATTTTAGCTATATCTGTTAAAATGCAATTGTTAATTAAGTCTCATGTTTTTTTTTTCAAAATTAAATTAAATTAACGTAACATATGGGAGAACATGTGATTGAAAATTATATAAAAAAAACAATTTAAGATCAAATCAGGAGCTAAAAATTCACTGATCATAATTCTATTGACCAGATTTTCATACTAAATAACTAATTTAACTTGAGTAAACTTGAAATAAAATACAAACCTCGAAGAACAATCCTGAAACAGCAATCATGGCCAAGCAGGAGACGATGTCCCCATGATTCTGAATGATGAATTCGTGGCTAAAAATTGGCGGATTTTTCGCATTCTTTTTACCTCGAGCTATTGGCGGGACCATGATTCAATAAAAGTTCACTGTCGTCCTAATTCCTAACAAATCAGTGAGAACACGACACAGCAGACTTCAGTACTGATAAGAAACCGGTTTGATAATTTGATAAAAACTTATTTTGAAAAATAAAATGACCAAAAACCAAATCAAAAATTCTGATTAAAACCAATTGTTAAAAATCAAAAAATAAATTTTAAGCAAGAAGAAAACACACTTTAAAAGGCAGAAACTTGCTAGTTAAAAACTGTAGATGTAACATCCGCTTTCCAAAAAGTAAGTAAGCAAGTCTGTAAGAAAGCTTTTGAGTCACACTGATTTTATACCTGTCAATTTGTATCAATTGACAGATTTCTTTTTTAAATTGAATAGAAATTTTAATGCACATATTTTGAATACATTTTTTTAAATAATAAATTTTATTCAAACGACTCAAAAAGGTAATTTTAAGCCATAAAACACATTTTTATTAAAAAGGTTTACTTTTAAATTGCGACGTGGTATTAAATAATTCCACTTTTAAATTTTTTACGTCTTGACTTTAGTTCAATGTTTATTTAGAGTCTGTGGGATTTTTTTTGTTTGACATACCTGGTAAAAACAATGTCGCAATTTTTGTTCTAATATTTAAATTTCAATGATATTCGTGTAGATCATTTTAAAGTTAATTATTCAATTTTGAATTCGTTGATAATTTGATTGATTGATTATAATATTTATAATTTTATAAATTTATATTTTATAATTATTATACATTTTTCCCTAATTTAATTATAAAATAATAAATTAATTAATTAATCTAAAATTAGGCACGATGGGGTGTTGTAGCACAAACGTTCGAGTCAGGAATTGGTTTCTGGTCGGGATCAGCACAGTTTACCTAATAGCATTTGTCTCACTTTTTGTTCAAATTCCAGGTAAAATTAATTAAATGACAATTTTAAATTGTTTTTTTTAAGAATCCCTTTCATGTTTTTTGTTTGAAATGTCATCATAGAAAATATAATTTATATTTAGTTTATTAATGCAACACATAAATTGTTATAAATATTTAATATTATAACTATGAAGGTTTGTATGGAGACAGAGGTATTTTACCAGCTCACTTGGCTCTGCAAAAGAGTAATCTTTTCAATTTTTCAAAATGGTTTTTTTTTATATCAAAGTTTTTTAATTTAGTTTAGTAAAAGTTGATTTATTAATGAATTTAACCTCAATTAGCTTTGCATTTTATTTTTAACTTTAAAAAACCTATTTTTTCTCAAAAGACTTGAAGACCCTCGAGGAAATCACATCTACCCAGCCATCACTGCTCCACATTTTGCCCAAACTGGGGATAAATGGAGTCGAATTAGGGTTCAACATCATCTGTTTATTTGGAATCATTCTCTCATTTTTAGCATTTACAAGTGAATGCTGTAGAAACTCATTGGTTTTTGGTACTCTCTGGATATGCTACCAATCCCTTTTTCAAGTAAGTAACATGTGTGTGTGTGTGTGTGTGTCTAAACATGTGTGTGTTTGTATGCATACGTCTGTGTACGTGTGTGTTTGTGTGTGTGCACACCATTAATAATGATTATTGCACAAATATTCTATTGCAAGTATTATAATAATCATTTTTAGCAGAAGATGTGGTGATAACAATGATGATGTTGTTGATGGCTGGGATGATGATGGCATTTAATCCTCGATGATAATGATGATCTGCAAACCTTAAATGTGATTTTTTCACAATAGGTTGGACAAACATTCCTCTGGTTTCAATGGTAGTTTTTTTTAAATTCTCATTCAAAAAATGTAATTTGTAAGGCTCTCTCTTTTTTTTCAATTTCTCTTTCTCTCTTTTTTCTCAATTCTCTCTCTTTTTCTTTCTCTCTCTTTTTCTCAATCTCTCTCTCTTTTTTTCTCAATCTCTCTCTCTCTCTTTTCTTTCAATCATCTCTCTCTTTTTTCTCAATCTCTCTCTCTTTTCTTTCAATCTCTCTCTCTTTTCTTTCAATCTCTCTCTTTTTTCTCAATCTTTCTCTTCTCTCTCTCTCTCTCTCTCTCTCTCTCTCTCTCTCTCTCTCTCTCTCTCTCTCTATTTTCTCAATCTCATTTCTTTTACCTTTGTCATCTAGGGATACATTATTATTGGAGTTGGGCTTCCTGACAATCTTCGTAGCCCCACTCAAATTGCTCTTCATTGACTTGCACGCCTTCTCGAAACAAATTGGTACAATCTCGTTTTGGCTCGTGAGGTGGTTGACATTCAGATTGATGTTCTCATCGGGTGTGGTCAAGTTGAATAGCCAGTGTCCAACATGGTGGGGTCTGACAGGTTAGTTGTGTTGTGTTTGTGTGTGTACGTGTGTGTGTGTGCGTGTACGTGTGTGTGTGTTGGTTGGTTTATTGATTTCGTAATTTTTCTAACTTTTGCTGTTGTGTGTTTTTCATCTGTGGAAATTATTTAATTAATCTTGCTAAAGATTCATTGAATTATGTATTTAATTATGTATCATGTCGTTATTTTTTACGAAATTTTTTTATTTTCTTGTATTTGAGAAAAATTATTAAAAAAAAATTTTTCTATCTCCAATCTAGCTATGACCTATCATTATGAATCACAGGTGAGTTCAGTTGGATACAAGTATTTTTTCTGTCTGCTTCTCTCTCTTTTTCTCCCTCTCTCTCTCTCTTTCTCTCTCTCTCTCTCTCTCTCTACTTTCTTTACTTTTTATCATATTCTTTCATGCATTGTTGAATTCATACACGTGTATGTACGCACACATGTGCAACAAAACAGCACACAAAACTACAAATAAAACACACATCTACAAACAGCACAAACACACAGTTACAAACACACACAATTACAACCAACACACACCCGCACGCACAACTACACAGGCGCACACACAACTACAAACAACACTACTACACACAACTATAAACAACACAAACGCCAACACCTATAAACAACACGCACACGCACACATGCACACACAAGTATACAAACATCTACAATTAAACAGTGCATCCCTACTCCACTGGCTTGGTACGCCCATCAGTTTCCTGTTTGGTTTCAGAAGGCCTCCACAGCCTCCGTGTTCATCATCCAGATCGTCACCTCCATCTTGTTTTTCTCTCCATTCAGAGCTCACAGGAACGCTTCGTTCTATTTGCAGGTTTAATTTTTTTTTGCTCTTACAAACTCGTACACACAAACAAACACACACACACACACACACACACACACATATATATATATATATATATATATATATATATATATATATATATATATATATACATATATATATATATATATACACATATATATATATATACGCATTTACAAACACATGCACGTACACACACACAAATCGGTAGGACCCTGCCATGTTTGAAAGCATTGACTGACTATCCTATCCTATCCTATCCTATCCCATCCTATCCTATCCTGACTTTCCTATTCAACTTGACTATCCTAACATCTAACTTAACTTAACTTGGCTAACTTAACATCAGCCTCTCAAGTACACACACACACACACACACACACATACGTTCACACACGCACAGAGCTTCCTCATGTTCGTTATCATCCTAACTGGCAACTACAACTTCTTTAACTGGGTCAGCATCGTCATGTGTCTGTCGCTCGTCGACGACCGTTTCCTCGCCTGCTGGTTCGGGCCAAGTCAAGGTCATTGCCAGGGTCAAGATCACTGCCAGGGTCAAGGTCACTGCCTCGATCATTGTCTGGTGAAGGGCAAAGGTGATTATTGGCCGTTGCGTTGCAGAGTTCTTCGTTGATAATTATTTCAATTATCACCATAGCTGTGAGAATATTATTTTTCATTTTTAATACGAAGATGGGTGCAAGACCCGAACTCTGTTACCAAAGATATTAAATATACTGATGAGGATCTCCACGATTGTCGTGCACGTCTGCGTCGTTGGGGCCGTGGTTTATATAGCACATCACTATTTCGGCGTGTCCATTCAGTTCAGTCCGTTTAGGATAAACTCGGAGATTAGTTAGTCTCGCTTTGCTCTTGTCCTCTAACCATTCTTTTCATCGTCATCTTCGTCGTCGTCATCATCTTATATTTATTTCATCATCAACATCAACGACATCATCTTAATCGTTACAATTACGTCTAATCATTACATTGCAATCATCGTCATCATAATCATCATCATGGTCGCAATCCTCATCATCCTCATCACCCTCATTATCATCATCATCCTCATCTTCATCATCATCATCATTAGAGTTCAGTTTGGAATCCTATCAAACCTTCCTACACCGATACGTTCCTGTGACCATCTGGGTAGCTGCTCTTTCACTCTTCTTCACTATTTTAAAGGCTCTTGGCAGGTCATTGATGATGATGGTGGTCGTGGTGGTGATGATGATGGTTGTGGTCGTTATCATCACTATTTTAAAGGCTCTTGGTGATGGTGGTGGTGATGATGGTGGTGGTGGTGGTGGTGGTGGTGATGGTTGGTTGTGGTCGTTATCGTCATCATCATAATCATCGTCATTTTCTCTTCCAATGATGATGATAATGAGGGTGGTGGTGGTGATGATGATGATGGTTGGTTGTGATCGTTATCATAATCATCATCATAATCGTAATCATCATCACCATGGCTATCAGATTGATACATGAAGAGAAGGGTCTTTTGAATAAGTTATTCAACATCATGTTCGTCCTGATGGTCAGTGTGTTTGCCGTCGTTACATTCTCCACTAGCCTGGTTCGTTTTTGATAATGATGACGATCATCATCATCATTATTATCATTATTCATATTATTATTATTATTATTGTTGTTGTTGTTATTATTATTGTTGTTGTTTTTATTAATACTAACTACGATGACGATGATGATGATGATGATATAGATTGTCTATCATTACTATCATCATTACTATCATCATCATCATCATCATCATCATGATGATGTCTATAATATAGAATGTCTATCATAATCATTACTATCATCATCATCATCATCATCATGATGTCTATAATATAGAATGTCTATCATAATCATTACTATCATCATCATCATCATCATGATGTCTTGATATAGAATGTCTATCATAATCATTACTATCATCATCATCATCATCATATCTTGATATAAAATGTCTATCATTATCATTACTATCATCATTACTATCATCATCATCATCATCATGATTTCTATGATATAGAATGTCTATCATTATCATTACTATCATCATTACTATCATCATCATCATCATTTAGGTTCCGTACACTGATATTGATAGAGGGACCCAAGAGAAGTTGCCCCGCAAGTTTATTGACTTGTACCAATCGACCAATAAAATTCATACCATTAATGCTTACGGGCTCTTCAGAAGGTTGATTGGTTGGCTGGCTGGTTTGTTGATTGGTCGGTCGGTCGGTTGGTTTTGATTGATTGGTTGGTTGATTGGTTAGTTGTCGTGTCGGTTAGTTAATTCGTTTTTGATTGGTTAGTTGAGTTTTTAAGTAAGTGAAGGTTGATTGATTGATTGATTGATTGATTGATTGATTGATTGATTGATTGACAGCATGACCGGTGTTGGAGGTCGTCTAGAGGTCATAGTTGAAGGTAGTAATGATCTTAAGGATGATGGCTGGAAGGAGTATTCATTTCTTTTCAAGCCCGGATATCTGGATAGGATGCTGCCTGTTGTTGGTTAGTTGTGACGACGATGATGGCGATGGTGATGATGAATATGATGATGATGATGATGACGACGATAGTGATGATGGTGATGGTGAATATGATCGATCAACAAAAGCGAAAGCAGTATTATCATCATCATCAACGACAACAGTATCGTAATCATCGCCACCACCATCATCATCACCACCATCATCATCACCATCATCCTCCACCCAACAGCCCCCCACCAGCCACGATTGGATTGGCAAATGTGGTTTGCTGCCCTCGGGAGTTTCCAGTACAACCCCTGGTTCTACCATACCATGTACAGGCTATTAAATAATCAAAAGGAAGGTGAGGTAGTGAGGGTAGTGATGGTTACGAGGATGCTAATAATGATGATGATGGTGACACACACACACACACCTACACACACACACACACATATTTGACACATTCACACCTATACACGCACATATTTGACACATACACACTTATACACACATATTTGACACATACACACTTACACACGCACATATTTGACACTTACACACCTATATACACACATATTTGACACATACACACTTATACACACACATATTCTACACATACACCTACACTCACACATATTTTACACATATACACCTACACTCACACATATTTGACACATACACACCTATACACTCACATATTTTACACATACACACCTATACACACTCATATTCTACACATACACACCGATACACGCATCCACACGACACACACACACACACACACTTACACACAACACAGTACTCGATCTTATCGACCACAATCCATTCGCAAGTGAACCACCGAAGTATATAAGGGCCCAACTATACAAATATCATTATACTTCTTGGAACGCCAGTACCAAGTTAGCTTGATGTGACTTGGTTGAAAAATTTATTAATTAACTTGCATATTTTGCTTCATTTTACTAACTAACATTAGCATATTTTGCTTCATTTAATGTCGGATCATTTTTTTCAACATCGCATTTATAAAACTTTTCAACTTTTCGGCAGCTTAACAGCCGAAAAACGTCTTTAAAAAAATGATTTTGAAATGTAGCTAACTTGTAGTTAACTAACTACCAGACAGTAAGTAGTTAGTCAGGAAGTGGTCTGTAATCACTTCCGTTGAAAGTAATTGAGAAAGTTACTAGCTATTTCTTTTTACAGTTGGTTAGCTAATTTTTGTGGGTAGTTAAAACATCACTATGCATTTTCGTATGTATCTGTATCACTGTACGTGAGTATGTACTGTACATGTGTAATCACAAATCATCTTAGTCATCCTTAAAAACCGTCGTCTTCATCATCATCTCTACGATGAATATCATTATTAATGTCATCTTAATCACAGTAACCATCATCATCTCACTAGTATCATCATCATCATCCTCATCTCACTAGTATCATTATCATCATCATCCTCCTTGCCAGGAATTGGTGGTATAGAGAGCACGTCAGAGAGTACATGCCGGCCATGTCATTGGCCACTGAACAACTCATCACCTACGTTAAACAACAGGGGCTTGATAAGGTAGATCGGCCTGTCGTTAGTGTAGTGGTCAAGGGAGTTGTCTCGCTGCTTCCGGTTGACTGTTGCGTGCAGTTGCCCTGGTTCAAACGCTGACTGGATCTGATTAATGATGAATATGATGAGGATGATGTGATGATGGCGAATTGTACATGTTATGCGATAGTTTGTCAAATTTATATTTTCAATAATAGTAATTAAAAATAATTTTCTTAATACTACAGAGTGATAGCAATTCTCACGGAAACAGCATATGCGTCCATCTCTTCAAATGCCTCCACGCCATAACTCCGCCAAGATACGGCTTCCACGTCTGTCTTGCATTCCTATTGGCTGGGATTCTCTCCCTGCTCTGGGATAGGTCAAAGGCTGGCCGAGATATCGACCAATCGCTGACGAGTTTGAACAAGAAGCCTAAGAAATCGTAAAATATCACGGTGTGGTTTATTTATCGTCGCCTTATAGTTCTTAATTTTATATTTTTATAATTTGAAAGTTAATTTTTATAACAAAAAAATTAATTTATCATAGAGCTGCTCAAATGGACCCTTTTTTTCTAGATCAAAGGAGCTATGATCGAATTAGTGTAAGGATCTAAGTTTCGTCATAACTTTGTACTGTGAATGCATGAAAGTATGAGAAGCTTAACGGTGGATTGTATTGTTGAAGATTACCCGATCAGTTTTTGACATTATGACGTTTGTTAAAATCTAAAAATATAACTCGATGAACTATTATAAACTCAATCTTCCCATCAATTGGCGTGTTAATGATTTTGTTAAGGAATTGTTATATATCCCTTTATATATATATATATATATATATATATATATATATATATATATATATATATATATATATATATATATCCATTAATCCATTCATTCATCCCAATGATGGTTTAAATTAATGTACGTTTCAATTGCATCGTTAATGCGCATAAACTGACGCTAACACTAAATGGATTGCTTGCTTGATTGACCTAGCATCAATAAAAATATCAATCAATCAATAAAAATAAATAAATAATAATAATTATATTTATAATCATCGTAGTATTCATTCACATCAAATTAAAAATAAAATAAAGTATATTAACATAATAGACGGAAACTGAAATATAACACAACCTATTGTTAATACTGTTGTGTCGGTGTGCTGGTGTATGCGAGTGTTATATATATATATATATATATATATATATATATATATATATATATATATATATATGCTGGTGAAAGACCATAATTAATGCAGTAATTTATGAAATCTACCAAATTTCTAGCTTCGGATAGTTTCCTGTTACATTTCTCAATATTTCTTACCAAATTCTTGTCGTCATTATTTATTTTATTAAGGTTAGAATAATATATAGCCTGTTTTTCTAACTTTAATAAATTAAATAATGGCAACCGAATTTGGTTGGGAATATTGAGAAATGTGACAAAAACTATCTCCAACGCTGGAAATTCGGTAGATTTTATAAATCATTGCACACACATATATATATATATATTATATATATATATATGTGTATTTATATATAGAGAGAGAGAGATAGAGAAGAGAGACTACTGAATTAATTACTTTATTTATCAACTTTAGTAATGAACGTGCGTACTTACAACACAGTTCCATATTATTGTCGCAAGAACCATTTTTGGAAAATTTTGGTTTTAAATGAGAAAAAATAACAATAAAATGGCAAATATTGTAAGAAATTATTAAATAATAAATGTTTTATTAAAATTAATAATTATAGCAAACAAATATTGCTATTTTATTTATAAAGTTTAATGGGTAAAACTTTAAAATATAAACTAAAACGGTCGCGATAAATTTTGTTTGAAGGATTTTTTAAACGACAAAGAATGATTTGTTAATGGCTGCTTGAGAATGCGTGTATTTGCAGTATTCATTTTATGAATGAATGAAAAAACGAATGAATGAATGGATGAATGAATTAATAGATGAAAGAATGGTTAGACGAGAGTATTCATTTCTGAATGAGTACACTAACGTATGACCTGACGAATACCTAAATGAATGAATGAATAAATTAGTTTAAGATGCAATACTGAAAACGTAAATCCATCAAAATCATCAAACAAAATCCAGCTTTAAAAAAGAAAACACGAAGCAAAACAAACTAGAAAATGAAAATTAAATGGAAAAATTGGTAAATTTTTTCAAAGAACAAAACTATACATTGGCATAACAATGCATAACAAATGAGATATAATTTAAAACGATATAAAACTTAAACGATTTATAGATATATATAACAATGGAATAATTAGATGAAATTATGTGTGTATGCATGTGTGTACGTCTTTGTGTATGTATGTTTGTGTATACGTATATATATATATATATATATATATATATATATATATATATATTATAAAATACATGAGTGACATGTAACTGTGAAGATATAAATGACTAGAACGGATAGTCGGTAGTAGTATTTGTAGTATTTACATACATCTATACATAAATACACATACATTTATACACACGTCGGTATTTGAATGTGCGTACGCATATTGTATAGCAGAAAAGATAGGAATTGATGCATATACATACAGTATATTATATATATATATATATATATATATATATATATATATATATATATATATATATATATATAATACCACTAACGCTAACAACACTTAAATGTTAAGTTATTAAATGCAATTCATTTAAACTTTAACGGAATAAAATGCAAGGTTTGAGAACAATTTACTAATGACATACAAACACACATTCCTAGTATTAATTATGCCATCTATAATTATTATTATAGATAAATATTATAATATATTATCGATATAATATATATATTTATATATTTATTTGTGATCTTTGTCGTAACCAAAGATTTTTAAAAAATTCTTAAGTGCGAAAATGTAGAAATTATTACGGATTATTTTTTTTATGTGTTTTTACTTCATTACTAGATGTGGCTACGATTATGTTACTGCTTAAGAAATTAAAAGTAATTACTAGCATATGCATGTATGTATAGTTCACCATACTATTTGTAACCTATATAAAAAGTGAAAGTTTTATCAACCTAACTGTCAATCAATCATTCAATCAATCAACCAATCAATCAATTCATTCATCAAACAATTAACCACCCATCAAACAATCATTCAATCAAACACTCAATCAATCATCCATACTCTCTTCTTCCTCTATTTTATTTTTAGGTTTTAAAAATTCTGTCCGTCCTGAACAGTCCCCAGTGCCATATTCACTGGCGTCTGCATCATTTTCTATGTTGGCGGCCAGCAGTGAGAGCATGGATTGTCTTTCATCACCCGTGTTGATGCTTTGAGCAATGGAAGAACCGGAACTAATTGGCTCTAAGCGATTTGATTCTGAATTCCAATTCATTCCTATCTCTGTGTTCCAGAAATTTCCGTTCCTACTTCTCGAAAGTGTTGAGGAAATGGAAGAAGATGGACATGATGTGTGCTTCGAGTCTGAACACTCTGAAATATCAACGTCGGCCAGCACATCTCCGCTGTCACATGGTGTGAACTGGTTAGATGAAATCTCTGATACTGGAGTACTTTCTTCTAACTTAGAAGCTGAAACAAATCTTGAACATAAGAACATTGGCTGTAAGATGGCTGCCAAACCTGAGTTCACAATTTCTTTCTGACTGGCTAACAACAAACTTGTTCTTGAAAGATTTAATTTTCTGTGACTTATGGTAGATTGGTCTAAATCATTCTCCCCGACTAACGATGAACAGAATCGTTTTGACGATCGGGGACTCAAGCATGGTGAAACAGGCATGGACTGAACATTCCTCCAGCATTCTTTTAAATCCTCCCCACAGGCAACACTTGAAGTGGCGCTAGAGTTATATTTAATTTCTGGTTCATTCTTTGGAGTTGACGGGTAAAAACTTTGCGGTCTTCTTCTCACGTTTGAAGCTATTGAGTATCTTCTCTTGCCGGCCAGGCGATTTGACGACGAAACGACCGACTCATATAATGACTGTTTCATCACTTCTGATGTTATCATTTTCGAATTTGTTGCATCTCTCATTGACATTAACTTCATAGGGTCCAAAATGTTATTGGGTGTCACTGACAAAAAAAAATTATTATAGTACTATTACTATTTTTGGAATTTGAATATAAATGAAGATTACTTTAGTAAGCTTTATTTTTAGTGATCAGTTTTTTATTAATTGAACATTCTAAATCTGTAAATTTAATAAAAAAATCATATGAAAATAATTAATATAATCAGCTGATTTTTTGAAGCAAATTGAATAGTTTCAAACAAATTTATGAAGATGATGATGGTTATGTTAACCAGCAAAAGCTCCAGATAGATTGTTTCTGGACCCAGAAAGTTGTTCTCTTGAGCTGACCAAAACGTTATTTCTTGACGATTGAAATGGCGATTTAAAATAACTTTGAAACATTTTAAAATTAATTAAAATTATGAAATGAATTTTTAGTTTATTTTAGAAAAAATTAGCTTGTTAGGTTTTGTGAGGTTGTTATGAATGTAAATCAATTTTTCACGGCATCTGTGAGGGTTTAAATTTAACTTCTTGAAGCAAAAATACAAATTTCCCATTCACTAACTAACTTTAATTCTAATTTAATGTTAATCTCAATTCAATCATCAAATCAGGCGAATTTTCGTGCAATGCAAATGAACAGAGCAACAGTATTCGTAAGTAAGTTTAGTCAGTAGCATTATCATTGGAAAAATTGCTTTCTTTACTGATGAATACCTAATTTAATATACAATTTTTGACTGAAAAAATAAAGTTTTACAACAATTCAAGTGTGAAAATAATGAGTTACAAAATTTAGTTGAGCGTGTAACTTTTAAACTTAGTGTTTCATTCAAAAGTTTACTTTTAACCTTTCTCGTAAACGTCGTATATCCGGTTAATTTGTCTGTAACGATGAATTAAGATCTCGGTTTGATATATATTTTATAAACAAAGTTGTCGGAAAAAGTTGTTGGTCTACAAAAATGTTTGAAAAGAATCAATTAGTGAATAAAGCAGAAGATGTTATGGATCAGGTTAGATGGAAAAAATGCTTTAGATTTTAAACTTATTTTTTAAATAATATAATAAATTATATAATAAATTAATCAATTTTAATTCTTAATCATAATTAATTAATTTAATTTCTAACTTTACTTTTTGTCGTCTGCTTTGTAGTACAAAGTTTGTATGTAGGTGTGTATGTTTTATATGTGTGGTGCATATATTTATATGACAATCTAGTATAATTCTATATTCTATTATCACTCATTCAATCAAGTTTGTTAAAAGTTAAAAAATTAAATTAAAATTTAATCTAAAACTATTCAGAATTGGTTTAATTTAATGATGATTTAATCAAATTTCACTTTTAAACAAGGTCCTTCGGCATGGTAAACACATCCTTCCCCACATAGCTCGGCTGTTCATAATTGGTACATTCATAGAGGATGGCTTTAGGATGTACGTTCAATGGGGAGAACAAAGAGACTTTATGAATGATGTTTGCATATTTTTTATTTATTTATAATTAATAATTTCATTATTATAATTATGAAAATTATGATTATTATCATCATTATTTTGTTTAAATTTAATGGTTACTCATCTAATTATAGTTACAGATTTCAGTATTATTAGTTCATTCATTTCTATTGTATTTTTGTTATTATTTAAAAATGTAATATAATTTTTCTTAAAGACATGGGGCTGTGGTTACTATCTGGCATCTTTTTTCGTTCTCTACAATCTGTTCGGCCAGTTAGGCGGATGTGTCCTGATACTGATAAGGAAATTCGTCGAAATCGCTTGCATAGACTTATTTCTCATTATATTATTGCAGGTTAGGAGGTGGTGGTGGTGAGAGTTTTGGGAAAATTATTTCATTATCAGTAACAATCATTATTAATAATTTTATCAAATAACAACAGTAATTGTAATATTATTATTATTATGAATTTTATATTATTATTATGAATTTCATATTATTATTATTATGAATTTTATATTATTATTATTTTTCAGTCAGTCGCTTACTCTGCACTGTGGGACTTGAAGTTTTTTCTCAAGTAAACTTAGATTTATTATTATTGCTGTAATCGTTCATTCATTCAAAATTTGCACTACCAAATTGTTAACATTTTCATTAAAAAACACCACAAATAAGCTTTCATTCATGCACTCATTCAGTTATTTCCTCATTCATTCATTCATTCATTCATTCAATCACTCATTAATTTATTCTTCCCATCATTCGTTCATTCAGAAATCTTGCCCTGGCTGGTGGCATAGTATTATTGTGGGCTGAGAGCAAATCAGAGGGGCACAGTTTATTTGCAGGCCTGCCATCAGCCGGCGTCGATCGCCCTAAAACCTACATGCAGTTGGGTGGGCGGGTGTTGTTAGTGTGCATGTGTCTCACACTGCTTAGGTTTGAATTCGTCTGGCTCCAGGTCGTTCAAAATGTCGTCGCTATTGCCTTGGTCTTTTTCATTGCAGTTGGTTATAAGGTTGGTTGGTTGGTTGGTTGGTTGGTTGGTTGGTTGGTTGGTTGGTTGGTTGGTTGGTTGGTTGGTTGGTTGGTTGGTTGGTTGGTTGGTTGGTTGGTTGGTTGGTTGGTTGGTTGGTTGGTTGGTTGGTTGGTTGGTTGGTTGGTTGGTTGGTTGGTTGGTTGGTTGGTTGGTTGGTTGGATGGTTGGTTGGTTGGTTGGATGGTTGGTTGGTTGGTTGGTTGGTTGGTTGGTTGGTTGGTTGGTTGGCTAACTTACATCACCTAACTTATATGTTTGATGAAAACCTTAGCAGCAATATTCTTATATCAAAAACAACTACATCACCACTCAAACAACAACATCACAAACATGTATGTTTGTGATGTTGTTGTTTGAACATAGAAAACGTGAAAAATCTTCACACACACACACACAACAGACGAAACTAGCTTCCATGACGTTGGCCGTCTGGTTGATGGTACTGAACTGTTGGCTGAACGCCTGGTGGATGCTTCCGTCGACGAGTTACAGCAGAGATTTCCTAAAATACGATTTCTTCCAAACTCTCTCCGTAGTAGGAGGTTTACTTTTAGTTGTCGCCCTCGGCCCCGGGGGCTATAGCATGGACGAGCATAAGAAGAAATGGTAGTGATCGGGTATTTTTCGCGTTGGTTTTCTGATTAGTGATTCGAAGTTAGGGATTGGAGATGTGCTGATTTCATTGATCCTGTAGTTTGTTTATTTATTAATCTATGAAATGTGTTATAAGGAGTGATTGGTATTGTTTTATATTCAAGTTGGCTTTTGGTTGGGGATCAGGAAGTTGTGATGCTATTGGGTATGTTTTTTTCATCTTTTAAGATATTTGGTTTAAGATGAATGGATGGATTATGCTTGAAAATTGTAATATAGTTATTTATTATTTATTACAATGAGTATATCGTTTGGTTGACTTCATCAGTAAATATATATTATATGTATATATTATTTGTGTGTGCGTGTATGTGTGTGTGTGTGTGTACATGTATAAACATATATCAGTATACTCATTGATTTGATTGATTGATTCTTATACAATTAGTATGTTCGTTTATAATATTTTCATCATTATTATTATTTCTTAAACATTATTGATTGTAATCTATATATCTTCTGAGTTTATTTTTATATATATATATGTGTGTGTGTGTCAGTGTAAGTGTGCATGTTTGTATGTTTCTTTTGCCTGCGTATTGCAATAAAATCCTTGAAACAACATTATATGAAATCAAATTAGCACTATATCTTTGTTGGTAGAAGTAGATACGTGTGTCTGTCTGTCTGTATTTATGTGTGTGTAAGTATATGTGTGTGTGTGTGTGTGTGTGTGTGACTATTCAAATGTTTCAACAACTGGGAGGTATAGATTAAAATAGTTATTTTAATTACTGCCGGCCATATGATAAGTACTGCTGATCCTTAACGAAATTGTATTTCTCCGTTTTGTCTACATGACGTTCACACAAACACATACACACACATACATACATACATACATGAACTCAGATAGTCATACATACATACACATACATACACGAACTTATTGTCCTACATACATACTAGAGATGCAACGGGTATTCTGTCTAAATTTGACTTTCCCAATAACCGAATGTTGCAGTTTTCAATCCCAGAGAACTAATTGTTGGTTAGCAAAATATTCATTTCTGCCAGAACAACTGAACTTGAACAGTAAGCAGATTGAATGTTATATTGATAAAGAAATTGTTGGCCAGACATTAGGCTTGAATCGCCTGTTTTTTTCCAGTAGCTAGTTTTCCATTATAAAAAAAAATGAAATTTTTTTGGAATTTTGGGTTTTTTAGTTTCTGGTCGGATAGTTGTATGCACAGACACAAATATGCATAAATACACGCATACAAACAATGCAAATACACTGAGCTGATAGAGATGTACAGAGTTTGATTTGCATCATTTAAAGATATTATTACATTGTTATTGTTCATGATTTTGGTTTATATTAGTATTATTATTTTTAAATTCTCGATTTGAAAATTGGATTAATGATAAAATGAATGAATGTTATTATTATTTTTATTTATTGTTGATATTAATAAAAATTATGTTGTTGTTGTTTGTTTATTATTTTCTTCTCTTATTATTATTTTCAAATATTTGAATTTTCTTCGGCATAACCAACCAAACGAACAAGCGAAAGCAGAACAAGTGTTCTACGACGAACTCAACAAATTACATTACATTTGGCATTAATTATGTTAACAGAACATTAAATATATATATATAATTAAAATTTGTAAGAAATTAAATATTAAAATTAAATGGTTATAAAATGTTTTTAAAGTTTTTTTTTAGTAGGAAAGATTGTGTCTGGAAAGTTTTTGTGGCGGATAGTGTTAAGCGGTCAGTTGGATGGCAGTGTTGGTTTTGTCTAATTCATCCCACTGTGTGTGTGTTTGTATGTGTGTGTGTTTGTGTGTGTGATCAATAATTAATTAAGGAAGAATTAGACATTAATTAATTAATTAAATTACTTTCGCGTAAGTCTGCTTGAAGAAGTATCTCGATATTTTCAAGGTTAGTTCCGTTGGTAAGTCGGTGACTTTTGTGTAGAATAATATTTCATACCTGTACGTGTGTGTGTTATTTATTTATTCATTCATTCATCCATTCATTCATTCATTCATGCACCGAAACATCCATCTATCCACTAACTTCTTTTTGCGATGTTCGACTTGACCTCTGCTGTCATCATCGTCGTTCCTCCTTTCTCTCACTTCGTTCATCCCGACCGTACTTTCTTTTATATTTTTCGATCCTTTCTTCTTACTTCCGGCAAACGCAAACGACCTTTTTCGGCTTTTTTTGTATTTTTGTCTGGCACTTACAGAATCTTTGCGTGGGCTTGCTATATTTATAAACGCCTTTACAATTTTCATATTCAGCTGGTCGTTTGGTCTTCCTAGGAGAATTTGGGGTACTTCCTTTAAGGCTGTTTCACCTTTTATGACGAGGATGTCTGAGTTCTTTTTAAAAATGTGTGGTCTGTGGTCGCACCTGAACGTCGGATCGACCTGCAGGTTGGCGAGTTTGAGTTTAGTTAAGGATTCTGAATAATAGAACAGTGACAAAGAAGCATGGTGACAACAACAACTACTGCCAATTGGAATAATGTGTAACAACATCAATAGAGTCGGCAATTCTTTGTGGTGTGTTCTGGATGTGAGTGGTGTGGTATGTTCTGGATGTAAGTGGTGTGTATGTGCATAGTAGGAACCACAAAGTGACCACCGCCCCACCGTAGAGACGTTCAGAGCTTCGAGGACCCTTTCATCTTGCTCGCGGCCCTTGATTTGAACGAGTGCGCACCAGCAGAGCGTTTTGACGAAGTCGTGACCTTTGCAATTGTCGTCAAGGTCATTAACTGAAGAGTTGCACATCCCTATTATCTCTAATAAAGCCATGTGACGGATCTTCCAGGATTCGTCATTAGTATCCGGAGCTATGTTTAATTTGTTTTTATAAGTTTTATAAGAATGGAATGATGATGATGACGATGAAGATGATAACGATAATGATGGTGATGGTGATGATGATAAAAACCAAAATTAATAATATCGTTACTCGGTTTAAAGAACGCCAGATCCAAGAGAGACGAGCACTTGGACGAATATGGAGATTCGACGCTAATCGACTGAATACTCGCCAGTATGTTCCATTTCGTGGCGTTCTGCCTACTGCCTAACATTGCCGTCTTCCGGATCAGGGATGTGCTGGCCTCCTTGCAAATGTCTGCCATGATTGTGACGTATCTCAGGGACGTGTTGATATCCCACTGAGTGAATCCTTGGGAATAGAATGACGATAATGATGATGATGATGATGACGATGATGATGATGATGATATTAATAATAATAATTATAATAATAATAATTATTATTATTATTCATTCCTCCACACAACTTTCACCTTTCAATCCATCATGACCTAGCGCTAAGTTTTGTAAAAAGTCCAAAACGTATTGAGAAGATTTTGCGGCTTCTGATAACATCTCCATCGATAAGACCTGGTCAACCCTTTAAGGATGAATGAATGAATGAATGAATGGATGAGTGAATGAATAAATGAATTAATGAATGGATGAATGAACAAACGAACGAACGAACGAATAAATGAATGAATGAATAAATAAATAAATGTATAAACGAGAGAATGATTATTAATAAAAATAGCACGCACACACGCACAAACAAACACACACACATACATACATACATACATAAATACATACATACATACATACATACATACCAAAATTCATATTCCGCATCAAAATACAAGTTGAACAACTGCCCCATTAACTCATCCGATACAACTTCATCATTTTTATCATCAAATTTCTCAATGATTGTTGTCAGATGCCTTATGAAACAGCCTTTTTCATTGGTCAGCTGGATGGTCAGTTGTTTGTGGTGAGTGTGAGGATGTTGTTGTTGTTGTTGGTGTTGTTGTTGTTGTTGCCGAATTTGCTGGTAATGGTGCGATGCCCGTTGTTGTTGTTGTTGAGAGTTTCGCGCGTTTGTTAGCGTTGGTTTATGTTGTCGGTAATGTTGTTGGTGTTGCTGCTGCTGTTGCTGTCTCGTAGCTGTGTGAGGCAACGACATGTCAAAAACTCTTTTTGTAGTTGTTGCAATGAAGTCTATATACCAGGTATAGATTGGGTACAAGTTGTACATGTATTTCAGGCTGTATATTTCTGTGTTTTTTTTTAGAGGATTTTCGTTGATTTTCAAATTATTATTTTTATTTATTTATTTCAATTTTTTTATTTTATAGACGATAACTTATTAGGACTATTATAAATTATTGACCAATCAATCAACTAATCAATTGTCAATCAATAATCTAACTATTCAACCGACCAACCAATGAACTACCGATTTAACAATTTACTAACCAGTCATTTTGTCAATCAACTAACCAGTCAAACATCCAACCAGCCAACCAACCAATCAGCCAACCAGCCAGCCAGTCAGCCAACCAACCAACAAACTAACCAACAAACCAGCCAGCCAACCAACCAGTCAGTCAACCAGCCAACCAACCAACCATCAACATAGCAATCTAGACCACTATAATCTTTCAGAAAAGTCATATGCCCCAGGTGATAATGACAGAGCAGCCTCTTGCACGCCACGTAACAGCATTGAAACATTTGACCTTCGAGTTCGTTCAAAGTCGGGTTAAAGGTCAAGGTCGACCTTAGGAGGTAGAGCAGGGTTTGGATGAGGTAGGTGAGAGAGTGAACGTGTGAGGGGAAGAGATCGGAATGTTGGAGAGAGTAGGAGAGAAGTTTCGCTATGGCTGTGAAGATGATGACGGTGATGATGATGATGATGATGTTGTTGATGATGATGATACTGATAATGATGATGATGATCGTGGTGGTGTTGATGATGTTTGGGAAAAAATTAAAAACAATTTTATCGATTTTATGAACGGTAAAGCTCATTATATTTGCATCATTCATCTCTACCATCATCATCACAAATAACATCATCATCACCACCAATAACATCATTATCATCACCAATAACATCATCATCACCACCAACACCACAACAACAACGTGG